ACACATGGAAAACCCTTATAAAAACCTTACAGCAGAAAGTACAGTGGTCACTGCGAGAATAAGTTTCATCAGTAAAACTGATCAGTGCAATACTGTGCGAGAAAGCAAAAGTATTGAGAGGGAAAGCAAAAGGAAAAAAAGCCACCATGTCCTGCAGGGGCCTCCGTATTCCAAGAGTGTAATCTTAGCAAGACTAAACCACAGATCCCTGTGGAAACACGCAGGGATCAGGTTTAAATAGTGGTTTAAACCTGACAATCGATGAAGAAACTTAAACACCAGTGTGACTGTAAACCTGTCTTGGAAATGAAAATGACTTCTCAGAAGTGAACACCCTCAGGCCTGAAACTTACAGCTGACCACATGGTAAAAAACCTTTTAGGGAAAGGTTATCGGTCAGATGAGTTATTTGGAGGAGTCGGTTTAAGGCTGCGAAAGCCAAAACCGCTGTGCTAGTTATCAACCAAGGCGATGGGAGCATCATGCTGAGTTGTCCTTTTTCAATTTTCAGTAAAGACGGAGAAAAACTGTCTCCAAATTCTTTGATTGACGGTTTGTTGGTGCTCTGAGACAGAAGCACTACAAAAAGTGACTAAAGTCGTCGGAGAATGGAAGTTTACGATGAATGTTTGCAACTACGACCAGAAATAGGGGAACGTTTAAATACATCGAATGTCAAATTTTAAATATTAGACAGTGCTTTTTAGCTTGCAAAAGTAGGAAATGAGACATGGCAACATAAAAATATTTATGACTGAGGCTACTTCCACAAAGCAGTTGGTGAATTTGTACATGGAGCAACTGCAGAGCAGTCCCAAAGTTGTGGGTTTGATTCCAGCTTCTCTCTGCTTCATGTCGATGTTCTTTGGTAAATGAAGGCGTGTGTGTGTGTGTGTGTGTGTGTGTGTGTGTGTGTGTGTGTGTGTGTGTGTGGGTGTGCGTGTGTGTTGGCGTGTGCGGCTGGCCGAATGTGGCTCTCGTGCAAAATGCTTTGAGTCGCTATGACTACAAAAGCGCAACATAATTTAAGTCCATTCACCATAATGCAGAAATATGATTATTGTTGCACTTGTTGTTCTCCTTGTGCGATTCATTCAGCGTCGCTCTTTATGTTTTGTTTGTTGTTGTTTTGTTGCTCCTCTGCAATTAAAACGTTGCTATGTCTTCCAGCCTAACAAAGCGAACCTGACGACAGCCATAAGTCTGGAGCAATTTAGCATCGTTGAATGTTGCATCTAAGCATAGGTCACGCTTGAAACGTTTGGTGCAAGCAGCAACAAAATACTAACACTTTGAAAATCACATAAAGCAACATTTTTTTACATTTCTATGTACATTTTCTTGTAAAAAAAAACAAAAAAATGGAGAAGTGGGTTAGAGTGAAAGAAAAAGAACAATCACAGCTTCATCAGTCAGGTGTAATAACTTTGTGATGGAAAAGGTTGAAGAAATTCACTCATATTTGATCAAACAATAATTAGTAGTATGTTTGTTATGGTCGCGTTTTGACTGTGCCACTACATTGTTTTCAGTCTCTCCTGGTGCCATTGGCTTTCAGTTACTGTGTCTGACATTAACTAACACAGTGACTGATAACTGGCCTTACTTAGCAGACTTTTTGTGACATCCAGCAACTATAAATTCCCACAACAACAACAAAAAACAAAACACGGGGTGCCTCAAGACTCCCTTTTCGTGCCTCTATGTTTTCCCCATTGACTCAGATTATGGAGTCGTTCACCATAAGCATGTCAGTTACACACTGTACTCCTGCCTCGCCATATTAGAGCACTACAATCACCGTTCCAGTGTCATTAACAATTTGATGGGTCTGATATTATTGTCCACTGTCTTACAAGAAAACCTTCCAGTCCTCTGTTTCCAAAAATACAATCAATTTATTGTTATGCAGTCCACAGCATTTCACAGTATAGTCAATTCGAACCCATTATAGAGATTTGAAGTTGGAATGTACCATTCAATCAGTCAATCAATCAACCAATCAATCAATCAACCAATCAATCAATTCCTATTATTTCCTCAATTTGAGGTGACATACTCACATGTGACACCGCTCGGATCCACCGATCTCTTCTGTGTCTGCAAAGGTCTGAAGACCAGACTGTGAGTGTGGTTTGACTTACACACCCGACCACCACGTCAGATCTGTGTGCCACAAAGCTGCTGCATTTGGACATTTTGTCTCAGGCTTCTACGAAGACGCCTAACACTCACGTCGTTGCGCCAGTTTGTCCTCGGCTGAACGCAAACGTTGCGATTTTTCTGTGGAAGCAAAGCACTGCTGTGCGCTTTATTTTTTGGTAAGAGGCTCAGTGGTGAATGTAGTCTCACCTGTTGTGCAGGTTTTCATTTTCAAAATGTTAAGTTAGCAATTTGGACATCGAGTGTCGACTTTTCATCCAGATCTGAAAGCTTTTATTTCACATGCAGTTAAATCAACTTTATGGATATTGTTCAGTTTTTTTTCAACGAGATAAGTTTGAAACATTTCGGGCGTGAGCTCTTAACGCATGACAGTGTCAGTTATTTAAAAAAAATAAAAATCATGCTTTTTAAAAATGGGTCATCGGACAGAAGCCCACAGGCGACTCAATGGATTCATCCCTCATTCAGTCAGTTTAATTCACTCCAACTTGACCCCAGTCATAAAACAATGCAGTTAGCCTGATGCTTCAGTGTTACTTTAGCGTTGTTCTTGACTTTAATTTTCTTCAACTGCGTTTCTGAGTTGTCCCTGTAAATCACCATTCGTCACTTTCTATATCTGCGGTTCAGCACAAAGAAGCGTCTCTTCATGCCTTACCAATGATTAACGTTGAAAACGTTGCACCTTCTTCACCAATGTCACATTAGTTGATTTGTTTTGTATGCCGCAGTCTCTACAGCAGAAGCTGGATTCACAGAAACCTTTCCAGGGGTGCATCTAGAATATTTTGGAAGGGGGCCCTTCACCCCAAAACATTTTGGGATGAGGCATCGCAAAAAGAAACTGTACAAAAGAGTTTCTTTAATGTGTGACATCAGAGATCAAAGGATTAATTTGGCATGGATATTTTTTCCAAGATGTAACTGATTTATATTTTTTTAAGTAAAAAAAATAAAATAATAATATTTAAGCACATTGAACAGTATTAAGCTTACGAATGAAATTATTGTGATTTTTAACACAAAAAAACAACAACATTTAAATGAAGTTTCACTTGCAGTTTTTCAGTGTAGTAATGAACTCAAACACCTGATCCAGTAAATCTTTGACCCAGCCAGGGCAAGAAGTGACTGATAAGTCCGTCTTTAAGAAGTCTGCAACATTTCCAGATCTTTCCTTCAAATCCACAAGTATTTGTGCAAAACTCACTACCAGTCTATTCACACTCAAACAAGTGCTTCCTGTTTTTTCATCCTTCTTTTTTCTTGACAACCTCAAAAGAATCATTGTTCTTCCTGGAGTGAGACTTGTGTCCACTGAAGTCATTGAAATATTCCCATGGAAGTTTGCAGAGCTCAGTGTTTAAACAACAGAACAAGGGGGGGGGGGGGGGGAATGTTCAAATAGAGGAGAGCCAGAAAGGAACCAGAAACCAAAACCGCAGTGGGCAAAAAAAAAAAGAAAGAAAAAAAGACAGAAAATGACTATTTGAAATCGAAGGGAGACATGCAGCTGGGTCTGGTGTGGGTTTTTTTCATTTTTTTTTTTTCATGCTGCTGGTTCAGTGCCTCTGCTGTATTTTTAACATGACAGGCGGTAAACAGCCGGAAACCGGGGAGTCGAGATGTGGAGCCTGCGCTCACGCTCCCGTGTGCCACGCCGTTCCTGCCTTTAGCAGCCCTCCCAAGGAGAAAGGCAGGGAAAGATGGGACGACATGCAGGAGATGAGTGACTCAAGGATTCACTCAAAAACCCGTAAGAAAAAGCCTGATCGGTTTTTGCAAACTGGGCATCTATTAACACATCTAGCAATCCATCTGTTCAGTGAAGAAAACCTCAATTTGACAAAACTGACTTTACACACATTTGACACGCAGCAGATCTTACCTCAGTATACCTGGTGAAATAGAGCGACCAAGTTATTTTCCCGTCTGCAGAAGTTCCTTAACTTTGTTTCCCCCCCCAGTTCCTCAGAATTGCCCTTCGTCCTGCTCATCTGAGCGCTGACGCACACTGACACACGCGCGCGGCACGACAAGAGGCTCACATGGTCGTCGTGGACTGCGATGGCAGAATGAGGAACTCAGGGGAGCTGCTTGGGGATTTTTTTTTATCTTACCCAAGCTTCCTGGTACAATTGTCTAATGATCATTTGCATAATCAGCAACTGACACACACAGACATGCACACACTGCATTTCTCGTAGGATCTGCAGCGACAGATTCCATTCGCCTATACGCCGCGTGTCAAATGGGACCTTTTTTGAAAACCTCCCGAGTATTTCTCTTCAGTGCCTTGCTGGAGTATTCAACCCCATCACCACCCCTTTAAACTTTTCCATGTTTTAGTGCAAAGAAAATCCTGAATGTTTTCTGTCTGAGCTTCATGTGATGGACTTTTGCGAGACGCAGAAATCAAAGGGAACATAACACCCGCTCAGGGCGCAGACATAGCGGTGGTGGCAGCATCATGCCTTTCTCTAGCTTAAATAAAGAAGCAGATCAAACTGAGAAAACGGGCTGATAGCGGTGTATAACTGCAGTCCTCAAGAGTCACTGTATTGTGGCTTTTGGGGGTTTTTCCCCCCCACAATTCAAATTATCAGTTGTGAAAGAAAACATTTTTTTTTCCTTTCGCTTCATAAGTATTCACTAATCTGTGTCAAAATACCTCATAAATGTACCATTGAAATGTATCAGTGTAACATGGCGCAGCATGAAAATGAGAATTTCTGCAAGGAACTGTATATTGATTATCGATTCTGCCTCAACGCCCCCCTGCTGGTCGAGCCGTGGAACTGCAACAACACAAGTAACTTTCTCCACCAAACCCCTCTTTTCTTTCATTGATCATTTATTAAACTTTGTTTGACATAGGAAATAGAAAATATACTTACAGAGAGTCAGACAGAAAGAGGAAACCATGCAAATACTCTACATGTGGAATCACGACGAGCAGAACTGGAAACGACTCACGAATCAAACGACATGAGAGCTGCAGTGGGTTTGCTCTCCACAGTTTGCCGTGGCAAAGGAGTCAGAGTTGAAGCCGTAGTGAAGCAGGGGTGTCTGTGGTGTGTGTGGGGGTGGAAGGACACATGCAGGTCGATTTATACAATGAGCTGATATCACATTTATATACAGAGGAGCAGGAATGCGACTCAGCCAAACATTCGCACAAACGCGCACACAAGTTAGTGTTCCTGGAAGATCTGCTGACTGTTGCATATTTACATTTGGGAGTAGTTTGTCGGTCTTGGGCCGCCGCGCTTACTGGTGAGAGGAAGAAGAAGTAGAAGAAGAAGAAGAAGGACACCATTGCAGCTGACGTCATCTGCACCTGTCTTCTAAAATAATGGAAATTAAACGTGTTGCTCTTTGGACCAGGAAACAAGTGGACATAAACTGCCAGTGGGAGGGAAAAACACAACCAAATGTGTGGACAGTGTCCTACCAGGAAAGACAATCTAGCTGTACATATGACTACTCACCCTGAAAATAAAGTGAATTGCGTCTCAAAGGTCAGAAGAAAAAAATCACATTGTGTTTTATTGCCTATTAGGAAGAAGGAAGTGTTTCTTTTTATGGCCGCTGTTTGGGTATGTGTAACTTTTACTGTGCATATCGGTAGAGAAAAAAACAAAAGAAAAATCTATAAAAAGATGCAAAGAAAGGACTCGAAGGATGAAAGAGGAACATAGGGGTAACGTTTCTAATTTAACATGGCAGTAGTACAGATGGGCCTGAAAGCGCATTCTCCCTTACTGCCAGCAGGCGGCGACTCCTTTGGGTTGAAACGGAAGTCAGTCGGTGTTGAAGTCTAAAAGAACTGCTGACCCCACTGGGATTTAATGGGTTACATTAAATCCCAGTGGGGTGTACAGAAGCAAAAATAATTCTCTAAATCCATTTATGGTCTGAAGCACAATCTACACACCACAGTGGCATTTTGTCTCTTTTAATGAGCAGTTTTTAGCTTCGTGAACTAAGAATATCAATAGGTTCTTCAAGCAAATTAACATGTATCGAAAGGCGAAGCCACAACCACAGATAGTTGCATAATTAACTTTCTGTCAGCACCTTGAAGGTCACAGATTAGCCCTTTTTGTGGATTAGGATGTTTTTAGCACACAAAATGACTTCCCTGAGTCTCATTTCTGGTCAGTAACACAGGAACAGAGGCTTCATTATTTTGTTTAAAGTTGAAAGTGCATTCATGAGTCTGTGCACTATAAGGGTGATTGTGCAAAAAAAAAAAAAAAGCATATATTTTTTTGTTGATAGACAGAATAAATTGTGAAAAAGTATTTTTTTTAATTACAGTATTATTATTATGATTTTCCTTTATTTTTTCTTCATTAAATGGGACTGAACCTTGACCTGACACCTCTAACCAGCTATATTATCTTCAAGCAATCGTGAAAGCAGTGGGGTTCTTATGCTTTTGTGAACCGATCAGCTTGATTCTTCTCCAAAAATTGACAAAAACACTAAGACTTTTCTTCTCCTCTAACGCAACACAAAACCGAATAAACACATTTCCGAACCTGACAAACTACTCATGTAAGGCTGTGATAATACTTGCATTATTACTGTAAACGTGTAAAAAATAAAGATACGCATTTTGAAGGATGCGGAGACAAGTCGGCATGGATGGATCCCCCAAAGCGCCGTGTTTCAGTTCGGCTACAGCTGAGTCAACATCCCTCTGCTTCAACATCGGCTAATAGGAAGCACAAACTATTAAATGGCGATATGCAGCCTCTACCAGCTTCTACAAACATGCTACTCCCACTGTGACCCGTTATACCAGCATGTCTCAGTGGTCCTACAATCTGCTCTGACTGTTGCAGAGCTCCTTTTGCTCTGTCCTTTTAGTCCTTCAGCCTGTGTGTATGTGTGTTGGACCAAAGAGTCTGAAAGCAAAATGTCGTTTTTTGAAAAGAACAAAAAAAGCAAAAACTACCACTTGTGTACTCCTCACTCTGAAAAGCATCAGTCGTTCCACTTTGCAAGGAGCACCGAGCGATCGCGTCTCGACGCTTCAGCAGGGGCGAAGGCTCTGCTTGGAGGCGCATCCACGGCGATGGTTCTAGCCTCCAGCCGCCGGGCCGCTTCGAGCGAACAGGTCCACTGCGACGGAGACTTTAATCTGTCCCGCGGCGCTCCGTCTGCTGGAGGGGGGACGTGGCAGCTTAGCTGTTCCTCTCTTCTGTGTCTCGCTGGGCCGAGGCGGAGGAGCTGCGGCTGTCCTCTGCGTCTTCTTCGTCTGCGGAAAAAGTGGACGTTCACACTCTGGACCAAGCAAACTACGCCTCCTGTGTTTTCTTCCTCCATTTGGAAAAGCCACTGGACTCAGTTAATGACCCGGCTGTGCTATTGTAGGCCTTGACATCCCATAGGAATGCAAGTTATTCATCAATGAAGTGAACTAAAGTTAACTGAGTTCATCCATCGGCTAACAATTCATTGATACGCGGCCCTTACCTTAAAAACTTTAATTTTATCTTTTATCAAAAGGACTAACTGTAATTTTTTTTAATCTGCTGAATTAAAAACAACAAAAAGGCCAGTATTACGTGTCTTCCATTTTATAGCACCATCAGGTAAGTATGTCAACAACGGTTGTTTGTTTTTTTAAAAAAAAGTTACATATGTCAAATACGACTTAAAACAAATTTTACATTGCAATTTAACGTCTTGAAATTGAGCTTTTGTCCCTTTAAGAAACTCCTGCTCTTTCCGAAACTCCATCTTTAGGAAGTCATCCTATTTTAACGACGCTTTCACCGCCGTTGCTCTGAGACGTGGCTCGTACAATGAGCTCAGCTGTTGCACAGCTCCACCAGGTGTCTGCTAATTGCCGTCGGCTAGTCTGAAGGAACTGAGTGAGGAAGTGGTCGGATCTGGGGCTCTCTGTGAAGTGTAAGCTTGGAAACCTCAGGTACGAGGAGGAGCTGTGCCTCGAAGGCAATACTAGGTCCAACCAAGCGTTTTGCACAGCTGAATGGTTGCTACGGGAGATTACAATCAAAGCAACACTCAAGGGATTTTTTATTATTATTTATTTTTTGATGAAGGGAATAACATTACATAATGTAAACCTCAGAAAAGTAGTGTTTATATATATATATATATATATATATGCAAATGTAATAAAGCCCCTTTAACATTATTGTCTGTCTGTCTGATCTGGACTGAAACAGAGACAAAGTGGATTAATTTACCGCCTCCTCCAGCGTTGATGTGCAGCTGGGACAGAGACAGGGTGAGGGGCAGCTCTCGCCCGTCAGGGTCGGTGGGACTCTGCAGGATGTCGTGCAGGGCGTTCCGGCGGCCCGTCCTGCCGGAGGCGATGAAGTCCGCATACGTGCTCTCAACGTCAGACATCTTTCGCGCATTGTTCGGACAGCAACACCTGGAAGAAGGCCGCCTGGATCTTCAACACGGGCACCGCAAGAGTGTTTGACTCAGCAGTAAAACAGCAGGAATTTGTTGTCGTGTAACTTCCCGTGGAATCATTTCAGGGGTTTTGTTCTCTAAAATTATTATGCTTTAAAAATGAAGTGTGTGTTTCTGAGCCACCATAAGTTAACTTAGAATTGAGGAGCGAGAGGAAATATGACAATATTTTCAAAATTTGATTCACCAAAAAAAATCTGAAAATTGTGACACGCCTTCACTGTATCATGAGGCCCTTTTACTCTGACACCCCTAAATAAAAACCGTCTAGAAAATGTTCACATAGGGGCGGCCAACAGCAGAGGCTACCTGCCCATGACAACAACCACTCACTCAGCACCCATTGCAAACATGAAGAAATATGTTCTTAGAAATTGGATGCTATGGGAAAACTAAAAACTTTGTATTACTGTATTAACTTACAAGCAACTTTTCACCAAGCTATTGGGAGGTTGTTTTAAATCAACAATTATTGAATATTGACTAAAAACAATAACAAGTATTAGTTCCACTTATAAGGAGACATTTTCCCCATGTTATAAAGGAAAACAATTGCCAGTAGAGTAGGGAATATTCCGGGTTTGGTGTTTTTGCAGTGCATGGACAGGGAGGGCTGGTTAGAGTGGACTGAAAACCTACAAGACTCTTGGAGAAACATCCAATAAACTCTAATAAAATACAATAAATGTGTCAGAAGGACTTAAAACACAATTTTAACTCAACATGCAAAGCTGGGTGACACATGAAAGACGTGCATGAAATCAGAAGCAAATGTATTATTATTATTATTCATTTTTTAAAGTTTATTCTTCATTTTATCTATTTTAACATCGTTTTTCTTTCCTCTTGCCTTATGTCGTCCTATGACAGACAGTCCGCATGCAAGGTATCAAAAAGGAAGAGAAAGAAGGTGAGACGATGAGAAATGTGAATCATAAACGCCTAGCAAGGCTGAAAACCCAACTCCAAATCAGCTGCACCGACGGAAGTGGCCATATTTGTGGGAGGTCGCCGATGAAATCCCATCAGGACCTCGAAGGAGAAGATTTGACGGCGTTTCAAGGCCTGCTTTGAAACGCGCCTTACCTTTTACAGACAAAGCCACCGCAGCGAACGACCCGCAGCTACATTTTCGTCGGACGTGACTCCAGGACGCGGAGCGCGAGCGGCCGACGTCACATCAAAGGATCCACATAAACAAACCAAAACGCAAGGCAAAGCTGGAAGCAGTGAGTACCAAATACCCCGCGGGGTTGGGGCGAGGGGGCGGAATAGTCCCAGCACTGCGCACGCTGAGCAACGCGAGCAGTCACGGCATTTCGGACCGGAATCACATCAATAAGGACGCTTTAAACAAAAAGAAAAAAAAAAGAAGAAGTCCTCGGCGTATCCTCTCTGGACGCTGCATCTTCCTCCTTTCCAGCCAATTAGCGGGCGGCAAGCCGCGTCTGCGCGCTGATTGGACAGGACACACACAAAAGGATGCAGAGGAGAGAGCGGAGAGCGGCACTGAGGCTCACGGTGCGTTCAGCGTCATTGTTGAAAAAAAAACAAACAAACAAAAAAAAAGCAATTAGGCCAATCAATGCGTTTCATATTGAGCACAGTGACTGAAAATAGCCAAGCGGTGTGCATTCTAGTGTTTCAAGGATATTGTATCACAACTAAATAGGTTCATTCGGAAAAATTACGCTTTAATTGATAAGAAAAACTGGTAATAAATATGGCCAATAAATATGGCCAAATCTGCCAAAGAGGTATATATTGTGATTATTGTAAGGACTGGTGATTCTGCGGTTTTCCACACCACTGGAATGAAGGGAATTTGTGCGTGATAATCACAGTTAAACTGGAGTGCATGTAACTAAACATATTGAAATTATTTGGATCGTGTTGGCCCGAATATGACTGATGCAATTATTATATTTTCATACAATTTAATTAAAAATACTTGAATAATTAAATATTGTCGTAATTAACTCGATTTTCTTTCAATTGATTTTCAGAAAGGCGTCATGCTTTGGGCCTGTTTGTCTTGCAAAGGGTCCAGAGATGACATTTCATGACAATTGGGGGCCATGTAAACAAAAAGGAGTCAACATTTTAGCAAGTGGTATATTTTCTTTTAATTTGTGGATTTGCTGGCTGCTGTTTTCATGATTATTGTCCTGATTTGTGGCGTCTGAAGTCTTCCAACCTTTCTCCGTTTTGACAACATTTTTGATTTCTTGACTCAGTCACACCTGCTGATGGTCAACAAATCGCTGCATTTCATTTATGATGCCAGTTACTTCTTTATACTGACTATATTCAAATGTAAATGTTTTTGCTCATACCATTGTTGTATAAATAGGTAGATGTACTTACGATAATAATAAGTCAAATGGTATGTTGTAGTAAAAACCAAAAGTAGAAATAATTCAAACATTACACCTGAATGCAACAGAGAGCAGAATATTACAGAATATACTGTAGCTTTATACGTACATTCGTTATATTATAGACTTAATGCGTGGCAGTTTGTGGTGCTTAATCTAAATAGTATGACTTTTAAAAGATCTTTGTTTTCAGGGTGTGTTAAAAAAAGGGGGGGGAATATTGAGTAGTATTGATATTACTTATTACTTTCCTTAGTTTTTAACTGAAGTTGCATTTAATGGTGGGGGGTGTCTATCCTGGAAGAAGAATAACTCTTCTCTGTGTTTTAGCTGAACACAGAAATTACATTCTAAGCGATAAGGGAGAGTTATGAGATAGAGGCAGGATTTTACAAAAAGTCTAAAGTACAAGAATGAAACAGGAAAGTTGTTAAAAAAAGGAAAAAAATTGACTGAAATAAAGACTTTTACCCTTATTATTACAAAAGAGGGTAAACGTCTCACATCTCAATCCAAAGCTACAGAGAATGTTGATTATTATCCTCTTCAGCCACAGGATGGTGCTGCTGTCCATTTAGAATAACAAAGCTTCAGTTCTTGATCCTGCTCGTCTATTACTGCAAAAGCCACAATGTGTGCAAGGCAGTCTCAGCGGATTATGGGGTCTGTCCTCGTAAAAATGCGTAATTAATTATAGAAAATCCTCCTTAAACCCTAAAGTAGGCGGGGTAAACGTTGGGATTATGTAAACTTACTGTCAACACTCAGCCACACGGTGTGAGAAAAATTATGTCCCTATGTGTCCCTGCAACTTGAACGAGGAACGCTTTGCTCGACTTTAATTGCCATTTAGCACTGAAGACCATTTGTGTTTGTTTTGTTTTGTTTTCATGGATCAAAACCAACACAAAATGTCTCCCGGGCCCTCATTAGCCAATCGGGGTTGTCGGTTCTAACGCCAATCGACTCTATTGGTGCTGTTGTCGCTGCATCACAATTTGGAAGACATCAATGAAGCAATATTGTGGGGAATCAGAGTCTTTCGACCTGCATGCATCTTGCTTCCTGTTTCCTCTGTGCTGGCAGCCGTTCTTCTTTCTCTACTCTTATCCTCTTCGCGATTTAGCAATCTCTAATCTGATTAGATGCAGTCAGAAGGTTCAGGACGTAGTCATGATACTGGATTCAGGATTATTTTCTGATCATTTCTGACTGCAACGTGAATGTGTTTAAATGGTATAAATGGACATACATATTAAAGCGCACTAAAAAAAAAAAGGAAGAAGAAACTCAATTTGACAATTTTAATTTCTGAGCTGTAATCAGGACATTCAGACCACACAGGACAATGAAACTCGAATCAGCTTCAACCAGCTGGTCGCCTGCTTTTTTCTGGTCTTTAATGTTTTCACGATGCTTATATTTGCATCTAAGATAAAGCAGGTAAAGTTGGCACCAAGCTGTATCCTAAGACGAGCAACACTTGTAAATATCCACGATTCTCTTTGTGGCGTCTCGGCTGGTTTGCCTTGATTTCCCATGATGCCACACAGTGAAGCAGCGTGTCGGAAGTCTTACCTTGAAACACCTCCGCAGGTCTGCCACCATGTAAAAAAATACTCCAAAACCCAGGAGTGTCTTACAAAGTATGTAGAAACATAACCTAGGCTTCCCCAAATGACTCAAATCGCAGCAATTTTTCTGTATAAAAAGAAAGAAATACAAAATTCTGTAAAAATAATAAAAACAAACAGAAATTCTTCTTATCATTCAGACATTTCATAAAAATAATTTATTTGGGTAATCCTCCCTGACCTAAAGCAGAAAAAGTTTATAATGTCAGACAATAGAGTTGTGCTGTGGGGTTTTTAATGAAGTGTGTGTAGATGTGTGATTTCAGCGGAGCATGCACAGAGTTCTGATTAAGCGCAGGCGTCATGAAACCTCTGGGCAGCGTCTTCCCACGATCACGACGCCTTCCTGAGAGATAAATAAACAAGTTCACTGGAGCAGACAAGTGACTTGCTTAAGGGAATTCATTTTTCAGACGAGGTCGGATGAAACTTTAATGTCACCCACTGAGACGCCGGGTCATTAAAGCAGCGTATCTACACTCGAATACGTGAGCATCGGTTCAGCATACATGCCTCCTCTTTATGTTTGGCAGGACTTTGTAGTTTGGTTGGAGTTAAAATTGCTTCTTTCCGAGGCGTCACAATGTGACATTTTGGAGGAGATGTGCGGTTAATCGGAACATCCGCAGTCATTTCTTGCTCAATGAAGCAAACGGTGCGTATGAGCACAGTGCATTCAAGATTTAGCTTGCCATTGATGCAGTTGGCTGTGGCATTTGAAAATAGCTTTCGGTTGACTGAACAATGAGCTGCTTGACAAAGGGGAACAGAGAGAGAAGACGGACAGGAAGAGACAGGAACGGATATAGACAGAGCCAGATTTGGACAAGTTGAAGAGGATCTGCGTATCCTCTGATTTTGCTCCGTTCAGCTCAATTACAAACTTCTCACTGCCTCCTTTTGTGGTCCGTGCCCGCTGCGTTAGAGGCTTTGTCCCGATTTGGCCTGTGTGTCTGCATTAATTATGTTGTTCCCACTTCAGCACAGAAACAGGAGTTCCTCTCCTCTGTTTTGGAGGCAGAGTGAGATTTGTGCGAGATACGCTGAAGGTGAGACGAGTCGGGAACACAGCTTGTTGGAGCTAAACTTCATTCCATGTTAACAAACTCCAATAATGTGCGATGGTGACAATGATGGATGCCTTCCACAAGGTAGAACAGGCACAGCGGGCAAGTGAAGGTGAACAATCTAAATTTAAAATATCATAAAACGTGACTTAGAATCAACAGGCAAGAGTGGGAACAAACAGGGCATAGGGTACATGAGGATCACTGGAGAAACCAGCAGGAGGTTTCTCCGGGAAACCTGACGACAAAGAAAGAAATAGTAGATACAATTTAAAATAAGTAAGAATGGACAAGTATAAGGTAAAACGGAGACAAAGGGGATCTAAGAACCAGAATAACACAGACAACAATTCATCAAAAGTATAAATGGTTGCAAGTGACAAGTACCGGTACTGGTCAAAACAAGTCTGAGTTCAAAACAAGTCTGACAGAAGGTCATCCGTTGGGGTGCATTGAACGAATGCATTTTAATGTTTTGCACAATGTACATTCAAACGTCCTGCTAGAAAAATAATCTCACCTTCTAAAGGTTTTGTTCCAAGACTGACCTCTATTTAGCTCCATCCATCCATCCATCCATCCATCCATCCATCCATCCATCCATCCATCCATCCATCCATCCATCCATCCATCCATCCATCCATCCATCCATCCATCCATCCATCCACCCACCCACCCACCCACCCATCCATCCATCCATCCATCCATCCATCCATCCATCCATCCATCCATCCATCCATCCATCCATCCATCCATCCATCTTTGCTTAAGAAAAAAGCCTCATTCTCACAGCATAATACTGCCACCACTTTGTGTCACTGTGTTCACGGTGATGTTAATTTTCAACAGCACTCAAAATAATGAACTTCGGTGATTATTACATTAACAAAATAATATCATGTTCTCTTAACACAACGATGTCACGTTTCAAACGGAAACGTGATAAAATCATGTTGGACAAAAAAGACATTCAACAATTTAACGTTCATGAAATGTTATCATGTTGAGATAACATGATTCATTACAGTCAGACTGATCTTGTGCTGAAGACGACGAGCGAGATCATGGGAGATCACGAGAGATCACGAGAGATCACGAGAGATCACAAGAGATCACATGAGGCCATGCCAGATAATCGTTTTGCGTGCCCAGGATAACTCCAGTTGTGAGGAGACTAAATTGTCCTGGCATCAGTTTACTCAAGTCAGTGGCTCACATGTGCTAACATCACATGAAGTGATGATTAGCTGGCAAATAATTAGCGTTTCTCTACCATTTGCACCATTTTCTGCTTGTTTAATCCTTGTGTCAAAATATTGAATTGAGGTGGTCATTGCATTTAAACAAATGTTTCACTCTGCCGTTATACGGTGTGTCTGAGAATAAAGTATTAAAAAAAACATCTCCCCCCCACAGGCAACAGACTTCTTGATGTGGAACAGTGATGTCACTCATCCTGTCTGTGACATCACTGGTGACCGTCTCTGTATTCCCAGATCCCACAGAAAAATTAATTTGCAGTTTTAGGTTTGACCCACAGCAAATATGGCAGAGAAGAATTTCTTGTTCGCGAAAATGAGCATTTTACAGAAGAGATGCGGGAAACTGGAGAAAGAAAACCAGGAGCTTCAACAGACAAAGGAAAACCTTAGGATGAAAATTGAGCATCTCAACAGAAGCAGGAATAATAATGTAAGAAAAACAAAATTTTAACCTTTTGTTGTTTTTTAGTTACACATTAAACTACAGATGCTTGTGCAAATCTAGGAATGTGAGCATTTCCAGCATCAATGTTCAACTCAGCTGTTTTTTGTGTGTGTTATTTGTTTTTCCCTGCAGAGCACTATTGGCACTTAAATACTACAGGATACTGAACTATCTTGTTGCTAATTAAACACTGACTTTAAAGGTTCTGTTTAAACTATTAATTTAAACTACCTTTAGTAAATGAGTTGAATCAACCTTAAAAGCTTTAAATTGGAATAACCTCCAACTGACACATTTGCTTTAAATTGGAGTGACAGAATTACATTGTGCTGAAATAAAGCAAAGTAATCAGGTGGAAATTCTTTCCATGATTTTTTTAAATGTTCATTCAAAGAGTTATTTCTTTGAGTGATGCGTACAAAACGGCTCTGAGGTGAATAGATGTCTTTGTATTCGAAAAAAAGAGCAGAGCTTTGAAAACACGCGAGTTTGACATGCTGTCCCAGCAACTAAAACTTTAGACCAGAACTCTGAATGAGACCAATTTATTTATTTATCGTTTGATTATTTACTGTCCAGTTGAATGCTGAGGCTCCTTCTGCAGAGCACGACTGCTTTCCCAGCTGTTTGTCTTTCCTTATAGCATTCTCTTCCGTCACCAGTGAGTGGCGCTGTTGACACTGGTACCCGAGCCGTCTGTCAGTCTGTCTAGCAGGGATGGGGTAGGAAGTGAGGGAGGGGGTGTTTTAATGTAAGCTAGAGGAGAGAGTGAGAGTGAGAGAGATAGGGAGGGGAAGCACCTCTGCCGCTCTCCTTGTCTCCTCTCCTGTGCGCAGTGCTCCGGCCCGACCGCTCCTACCTTCCCTCCTCATTTTCTCCCCACAGCTGTCTCTCTCTCTCTCTTTCTCTCTCTCTCTCTCCCGTGCACGAGCGCGCGCTCTTTCTCGCCCCTTTCTGATGCTGTCCGTCCTTCTCTCACGCCACCGAGCCGGAGGAAGCCCTCGGCAGGGCTGGAATGACTGACTACCTGTTTTGCGTGGTCTGAATTTTCCAGACGGGGGGGAATTCTGCGCGTCGGCGAAAGGAGGAGAGTCGAGAAGGAAGAAGGGAGGCTCTCCCCAGGGGGAGATTTGATTTTACAGTAAGCACGCGCAATGTCATTCCTGCTTCCTCTGTTCGCTCGTCTCGCGCCTCCCGTCCACGCTGAGGCTTGACGGCGGCAGTGTGTGTGTGTGTGTGTGTGTGTGTGGTGTGTGTGTGTGTGTGGGTGTGTGTGTGTGTGTGTGTGTGTGTGTGTGTGTAGGGGGGATTGGTTGAATATGACAGCCTGTTGGGAATATGGCCGGATGTTGAATTTCGACTTGGAAGTGTACGCCAGATGTTTTTTTTTTTTTGGTGTGATGCAAATTATGCATTTTTTTTTTTCTTGTCTTGTTATGACGTGCTGAAAGAGAAGAGGTATGTTTGCGTTGATCACCCACCCCCTCACCTTATTGCATCTCAGCTGGCCGTGCGAGGCCGAGGTGTGTGTGTGTGTGGGTGTGTGTGTGTGAGAGAGAGAGATGGTGATGGTGGTGGGGGGGCGTCGGGTGACGGAGTGATGATGAGGGCCGGGGGGATGAGAGGGGTTACGGCTGCAGCTGAAAAACGCTATTACTTTGTGATTGACCTAAATATGAGCTATATTCGTGAGATTATCACGCGTGACAGCGGCCCCGGCACGCGCTGGCTGCACGCCTTTGTGCAGCCCTTTGCGTTGGGGGACGTCTGGACGCTGGGAAATGTTGTTTCCATCGGCCATCCCTGAAGCATGTGCACGGTTAAAGTGCGCCCTCGCTGCTTTGTGCGCCGTGGCTCCGGCCTGCCTGTGCGCTCCGTGATGGTCATCTAGAAAACACACTTCCGATGTCTTTGTCATCAGTCGCAGGTTGTTATTTATTTTTTGTTGTTGTTGTTGTTTTTTAAACTTCCTGATTTTGGAGAAATGAATCCCATTCGTCGTGCCTCCAGGATGACTGTGTTTGAAATCTTCACGTTTGCTCTGTGTGACGCCTGTAAACCGGTTTACATGCAGGGCTCTTTGTGTATTCTGGGTTAGCTCTGCCTTTCACTTGGATGTGTTGCATCATGAAGCTCGCACAGCCGCTGTGTAGACTGGGTAATGGGGTCTAAACGGGACGCAAATGTGATGCATAACATGCAAAAATAAAAAATAAAAGAGGGTCATATGCTGGCTTGCAAATATTCACAGTTGATTATCTCGGTCACACTCCATCCACAAGTGTCTTCGATACGGATTTTGGAGCAACACAAAGAAGTGCACGCGTGTGACGTGTAAAGATAACGACGCCTGTCTTTTTTGTGATACCAGGGTATACAGCAACCTTGTCATAATAATCTCCACTGGATTAAGTTGGGTACTTTGATTGGACCAGGATTTTCCATCTCCCCATCAAGTCAAACAGAGGCACCATGATGCTTCCAGCTCCACTATTTTGCACTCGGCCTCGTCTGACCAGAGCATTGTCTTCATTGTGTTCGTAGGGCTTCTGATGGCTTTTCCAAGCATCTTTCCACACTTCCACAAAGCGTATGCTTAATGTTGAATTCTTGCTGTTTAACAACAGAGCTCCAGTTGGGCTTTAAAGTCTTTGCAGATCATCTGTATTTATGCTGAGATAAAAGAAGGTGAAGTCTATTAAGATTCAGGGCTTCACATCAGTGCCAGATTAAAAGATTCTGGACTGCTTTTGAAAAATACTTTGCTTAGATATTCAACGAAACCGTTTCCGAGTCATAAAGTCTTTATATTACTTATGAAAACACAAATTAAGCATGCAAAGTTTTCTTCTTTTTTTTTCTTGCAAAATGATAACTTTAGACTGCAAAATTATTAAAGCACAGTCTGGATTTTATGGCACCCTGTTAGAAAAAAAAAACACTTTAGGATTCATAATTATTGCCCAAATAGTGTGAAAATCTCATCTTGCCTCATTTTAATAATATTGTGTGTACCGTCTCGTTTAATGAGCTGGACTGTTAAATCTCCGATCATATCTGACTCCCAGACAGGCAGAAATCTTATTTATTGAAGATGTAAAATTATGGTAAGTAGACTATTAAAAAAAAAGCAAGTGTTAATCAATACTTGTCAAAGCAAAACTGTCGCCAAGGCAAACTGACAAATATTCCTGACGTTGCGTCCAAATAGGAGACGACTCCAGGCGGCTCTGCTAATCCCAAAACTGGAAAAGTATGAAATTGAGAAAAAGGGCAAAGGGATGAGCATCCTTTGTATAAAAAAGGATATTCTTCATTATGTGCTTGCAGTAAACACTTTAACGTCAACATTTATTTCCCCATGTACCAAACTCAAATCGGACTCCCAATGCTTACTTCCTAAGCTACAAACTACAGCAACTAGTTGGCTTAGCAAGAGTTTCCCCTCTGGAATTAAATGGCTTAAAAAAATAAAAATACAAAGTCAAAATTGCAATTTGTGATCAAAAATAGACTCCAGTGTCTATTTCACTACACATTATCCAGAGGGAGATGTCTTTTCTATGCACTCGCTCACAGCTACATAGACACCAAAAAGACATTTTTTTTTTTTGTCAAGAGTCTTTGACCCCTTTAAACTCTTGCGGTAGCATAATTTTAATGTGGAGGGTCAATGGACAGGACTTTGTTCTCCTTTTGGTTGTGGATCCACAGCTCTTCCATTGATGTCATTTTTTAAATTCTCTTAAGGAGATGTTGACGTGCCTCCTGGTTCTTTTGTGGCCTCCTGGATTGGCTGTGGATGTGCTTCTGGAGTCATTTTGGTAGGCCGGGCAATCCTGCGAAGGTTTGACACTTTAGCGTGTTTTGTTGGTGCTTTTGTTCATAATGGATCTTCTTTTGCATGAGCAGAGTCCAAAACCCTTAGAAATGCCTTAGTAATCCTTTTCATACATGGCTGTCCGTCATCTGTTCTTCCTTTAGCTCATGTTGTCAGTGAAGGTCTATTTTACTGACATGAATGACTTTGGCTACATGACTTGAACTTAGCTTTATGTGTGTCAGAAATGCAAAAACACAATCGAGGGCCATATACAAACTGTCTCTTGTATTTTTTTGTGAACCTCCAGGGAATCTCTCTATCTAGGTTTGGAACCACTAACTAGCATTTTAAGACCTATCTTTACCACTGAAACAATAACTGCTTCTTATGCTTTTGTTTTGCGACCAGTTCTTTTATTTAGCGCTCATAAAGAGGCAGTTTGTTCGCCGACTGCTTCAAGCTCCGTGAGCCATGTCTCGAAGCTGTAAAAGCACACAGGTGAAGCCGCCAGCCGGCGTTCTCGTCACACAACACCGCACTGATCAAAGAGCTCCTTTTCCCTAACGTTGCGTTCCCGTAACACTCTGAGGCGCGGTTACAGGAAGCCAGAAGTCTTTAGAGTACATTCATCTGTTAGTCTGGGACAAGAATAAAGCCTCCCCCCAACAGCCACCCCACCACTGCCTCCCACTTTTCAAGCCCCATCCTCTCAAATTGTTTCTCCCTAATTGCCAAGGATTCGTGGTGGATGGTAGAATGACCCGCGGAGCCGCGTCCCTGGAGGAGAATTTGGAAAAGTGATGCAGTCTGCCGGTGGTTCAGCGAAGCCCTTTGGAGCACGTTATCATCTCTTTCAAAAGGATCGCCTTCGCCCGTTCGTCTTGAGCAGACTTTATTAAGTTTTTATGATCGTGATCATAAAACAGATGTTTAAAAAAAAACACAAAAAAATGTGTAATCCCCTTTAATGCACATTTTGTGTTTGTTTTAACACAAAATGTGTTCAAATTTACACATTATAACACGCATGTGTTGTCCCTGTTTTAAGAGTGCAGATGAGACATATGTGGCATATGTAATGTGGACAAACTTCCAAAAACCTTTTGCTGTCTTTATTCAAAGTGTTTTTTGAGGCGATGAGTAAATTCAGTCTGTCTCACAACTTTTATCAGCTGTACGTTTCTGGGACAATGCATCGAGTCGAATGGTCGACTCTATTTCAGTGTTTCTTCACGTCGGCGTTATATAATCACCCACACCGATGGTAAATCCGACACAATACCAATAATGTATCTCATTTCCACTAGATTATCCTTAAGTCGGGGAGCTGTTCTCCTCCCTCTACTTTTAATGCGAACGCTAAATAACTTCCACAGTCTTAACGAGATAGAAAATGACAATGAGGTACAACTGAGATTTATTCCGTTGCAAAACCAGTCACTGTGTGAACCAGCGAACCATATGTCTAACCTGATAATCTCTGTTGATAACCTTGTTCAGGAAAGGAGACGCGGGGGGTGGGACAGGGAATGGCTGCGTGTTGCCGGGTCTTTGTATTCCAGTCATGACATAACCTGATTCATATCGCGGCATGTGCCTCCCCGCTTTGCATCGGTGAGGCGGGATGTCTTGCCTGGTCAACGACTTTGATTTTTTTTTTTTTCTTTTTTAACTATAAAATCAGCAGAAGAAAATAGTTGGTGGAAAAGGGAGGACAAGTGGGGACGGGGGCGCTCATTTTTTGGTAAAAGGTTTGGTTTCTGCTTCCACCATTATGATTAAAAATGCTGTTACTGTGAAACCCTGCTTTGTTGGTTCTCAAAAACTTGTTTTCAGTCGGGCTTCAGACTAATATTATGATAGACGAGTCGTTTTGTTTGAGTTATGTGGATTCAGTCATGAGTCACCATGGCAGATCGACAAATTTGCAGATGATACTTTCTTTTTTTCGACTCCTTTTTTTTGATGCCTTAACCCTTTAAAAACAAACACTATTAAATAGCGTTTGCCTCCTTGCTTATTTTTATGTCAGACAAATTAAATTCTCTTTTCGTTTGAGGATTTTAATGGTCGAGCTATCCAAACCAATCTGGCATGTGAAGAAGCAATTAGACCCAGACAAAAAAATAAATAAAATGAAAAAATGGCTCAACAATATTCATTAAATGTTTATGCTACATTGTATAACTCAATTCTGCTTATTGGAGAGAGTTTGGTTTCTTTCTTGCTGCATGGCCCAAAGTGTGGTTCAGTTTCAGATCATAAATGACTTGACATTCTTGACAAAATCAATTGAACTGTTAATATATCAATAAACAGCTGTCCCTCCTGCAATTTGTGAATGGTTCAGGAGTTCAAAATGACAGATTTTGTGGTGCCAATGAAGAGATTTTTGTAAGGAATTTTTGCAATATTTGACGTTAGATGTGATTTTTTAGTTATGGTCTATTACTTCTAGTAGGACTGAGGCATCAGTCTCTTAAGCTCAATATTTCTGACCAATTTTGAGAAAATCTGCTGCAAAATCAGAAAGAAATATGGAGATTTGTTGATTGTGTCAGAATTTTGCAGATTTGTGAAAACCTGGACGGATGTATTGATGTAATTTGGAGCCTAGTGGTGCCACACAGAAAGCGATGCCGGGCCAGATTCGGTGCCGCGGACCTTGAGTTTGACATCCGTCACTTAGTGCTTTACACGTTTTGCTCAGTTCTTTTGTCACCGCATGGAAGAGCTGTCACATGTGCTCCTGGAGTAATTTTGGTAGACTGTTGACTGATTTCAAAATATGTCTATTTTTAACCCTCTCCAGACTGATATTCTTCAATGACTCCTAATCTTTTCTTGAATCGGTATGATGCTTTGCTCATTTAAATATTTAATGTTGTCAGGCGAGTCTTGTTCTAGTCATTTCTCAAACATGTAAAGGTGACAAGCAAACACATGATGTCTGTAAAGGGGCAAATCAAGAAAGTGTGAGTTGAACTAACTTCAATTTAAACCGTATTTGCAAGATAAAGTGTTAGCTACTAAAACAGTGTTCAGTTTTGGTCCTGATCTGAATATAGGCCATTAGACCTAGAGTTGAGAGCTGATCCGTTCGCGTGGCCTCATTCATGACAGGATTTTTTAATTTTATTTTTAAAGGACATCAGAAACGCAGAGCTCCAGGTGAACCAATCTTCATCTCCAGCTGATCATTTACCAGCAGGAGAGAAGCGACACCCTGTAATGGAGGTAAACAGTTGAATAACTACTTTCTGAGTGTGTGTAATTGGATCCAGTGACAGAGGCCTTACCGCGCTGGCGTTGACCTTAGGTGTCTGCGCGGGACATAAACACCCGCAGCACCGTCCAGTCACGGAGCTCAGGTGACTTATTGACTATAAATCCCCATCTTCTCTCGTCAGCGTCCACTTGTGAGTCGGGGTGGTCCACTAATGGACGATTTTTGGATAACAGCAGCACTTTGCCTTTCTGTCTGAGCCACTGGGTGGCTTCAGCCTCTCTTTTAGCCTGAACAGGCAGTAGAGAGAGATTGGCTTCTGTGGACAGGATAATGGCTGTTTTTTCTTTTTTTATTATTAATATATAGCTATAGCGTTTTTCCTGCTCTTTCAGAATAACACAAAAACAAATTCTCCTGCAAAATCGCTTGTCCCGTTTTGTGCGGTGAAATGATGGCATTCAGTTCAGCTTCATAAGCACGCAGAGCAGGCTTCCTCCCGCTCAGCCAGAAGGTCGCAAAAACTACTTTAATCACTGCAGCACATCAGTGAATTCATGGGTAACTGACAGGAGTCTTTCGTCTGTGCATTTAGCCGTGAATGCTTTTTTTTCTTCTTCTTCTTCTTCTCTTCCTCGTCTCTGGCAAAATCGGCACCCTTCGCGTTTCTTCGCCGAGGGAGACGGAAGCGCTCCTCCTAATCCACCTCTCGTCGTACTGCTCACCCAATCAGTCCCCCACGGAGGCGAGCCGCGCCTTGCCAAGCCCTGGTTTGCCAAATTGCGGTTGCCCGGGCAACGCGAGCTGCAATTTTTCTATTTATTTTTTGCTGTGATGTCACAGAACCGGACCAGAACCGGCCCTCGTTGGACTCCGCTGTCACCACAGTGACTCTCGGCGTCCGTGAGCGGAGGTCAGCGTGGGCCGGCTCACAATTAGCTCGGAGTGTGTCGGCGAGGCGGCGAGTGGGCTGGTTCTGGACTTCCACACAATACGCCACCGGAGCCGCATTCAAGTCTGCAGCTGTGAATCTTGACGAGTTTGGCGTGCGCGAGCTCTCTGCGTGTGCGGCTCATGTCTCGCCACCACACACTTGAGTCCGAAGTTTATTCCACGCCTGTGGACTGGTCACGATGACTGTGGTTGGACGATACGTCGTCCCAGTCGTCATTGCTATGATGCTGTTGTTTCGACGTCATTTCACAGCACAGCAATGATGGCAAAAATAAAGCAAGTTTGCCTTTTGAGAGAGCAATAAATTTTAATGTTTTAAAGAACAGCTAACACTTGAACACGAAGCCGGGGTACCCTGAGAAAACCCGTTCATATGCTGGTGGAGTAAAAAAATAAAATAAAATAAAAGAGCAATATGTTGGAAAAAAAAGAACTAGAATATTTCAAATAGTGTACATATTTTATCACTATTTGGATTATTTAGCAGTACTACAGTAAAACGTGACACAATTAGCTTTTAATTGGACCTCATTTATATTTAACGCAGCAGATCCTTTATCCAACTTTAAACAAGGCATCAAGGTTAACTCCTTACAGTAAACGTCTGCTTGTTATGGGCTTTAAAATCCTTGCCTTCCACTGCTCTTTATTTACCCTCCTTAATTCCAGCAGATTGCTCCGTCAGACACACCTACAAGCCTTTCTAGATACATTTACCAGCACACTCCATTATCCTGACATGACATGTGGTTCTTGTAATATGTATGCTCACTGTGCCCTTGTTTCCTTGCGTGTGTGTGTGTGTGTGTGTGTGTGTGTGTGTGTGTGTGTGTGTGTGTGTGTGTGTGTGTGTGTCGAACTTGGTGGGTGTTGGAGGACCGTCAGCTGCAGCCTGACAGCCGCTCTTTGTTCTCACTCTTCAGTATAAGTGGGCCTTACATAATTACAAATGAGCTTTCTTATCCATAATGCTGTTAAAAAAGAGAGAGAAAAAGAGAGATTATGTCCTGTGGAGATTTTGGACCTGAAAACTTATAAAACAGAAAATAAAAAAGAGAAATGAACTGGTTACACTATTTTGCCGTCATCACCCTGTGGAGAACAAGCTTCTCTATACGTTGCGCGGCATTCGTTGTCAGGAGGAGATACATTTTGGAAGATATTTCCAGAGATGCGCCAAGCAATGGACTAATGTTCTCCGGATTGGCTCTAATCCTCAATCAGCAGGTTATGTCATAACTTATTTTTGTTTTCATTGAAAATTCATAAAAATCTTTGGGCTGGAAAGGCATCAACCAATAGCGACTTTCTTCAGATTAACAGGTTAGCGTCTTACAGCTGCATCTCAGTAAGTTAGAATAAGATTTATACAAATTCTGGATGCAAATCAATTTTACGCTTAGTGAGGCAGAGTGTTTGTTTCTGTTAATTTGGACGATTATAGCTTGCGGCTGGTGGAAATCCCAAATATTATTTCCAGTAGAGACATTTTGTAAGGCTTTTAATACAGGAATGTTGTTTTGTGGCCTACGCAAATCACGGGGAAAGACTGCTGACTTAACAGTATGGTCATTGACAAAGAGGTTGAGATGCAAAAGGTCACCACATGTCAAAAAATGTCTAAGCAAATCAGTTGTTAAGTATATTTTCATATCTTGTAAGCAGTAATTGTCGAAATGAACAAATGGATCATTTGGGTTCAATAAATAAAAAGAAAATTAGTTTCACCCCTTGAATTGAATTGCTGAAATAAGCTCTCTTTTCAATGATTCTCTAATTTACTGAGCTGCAGCTCCATTATGTCTTTGCGTTTATGTGAATAATTATGCAATTCTTCCATTTCTTTGATGGGTTTAAAGTCTGTTATTTAACCTGAAGCATATTTTCTCTCTGTTACGTACCGCAGCGCTGAACTTATCAAAACTTTAGAATCAGACAAAATTCTGAACGTGACGCCATGTGAAATCACAACGGTGCACTTTAAGCCGTTTCAGAGTTAGCGGGGCTTTTTCCACCACGTTAACGCAAATTAGATATTTTTTTATTTTTTGCCTTTATATTTTGACCTGTTTCCATTGTCGGCTGAGCGAGATGCGTTTTGGCTTCGCCAAGTGCGACTTTCTCGCACCGTTTCCCTTTTGCGGCTTCGTTGTTGCGGACACATCAGAGCGGTTCGTGTCGCTCTGCTGAAAGTTGCATGATTTCTTTGTATTCTGTCGCTTCAGGCTGCGTCCTTGATTGTTTTCTGAGCAGTAACGTTTCGCTGAAATGCGTGAAAGTTGACCACTCAACCAATTAAACCCTGAGAAGGTTGAAAGGTTCTTCGCAATGGCAAGCTTACTATATCTGGTCTTCCTGTGAACAGACTTTCATTTTATGTTTTTTTTTTGTTTTGGTCTTTTTTAGCATTCTGTATCCTTTAAATTGCATTCTTGGGTGCATGCAGCTCTCATTACTTTTGAACCCTTCTGCAGGCATTTGCTGGCTGGCAGATTCCCAGTACTCGTGTGGCAGAGGAAGTGGCGGCTGGCCTGTGTGCTTCCCGCTCTGTCTGGCTTATAATGCCTCTTCATTCAGCGCTCTTGCATCCAGCCAGCGCCCCGACACCCGCTAATCCTCCTCTTTATCTTAAAGGTTTGTTCAGCACTTTGCTGTCACATTCAGAAGGCTCCCAACCCAAGATTTCTCGGAGCACGCCTCTGTTGCGGTCGTTGGATATTAGTATACGTCAGGGGATGCATTTATGACATTTCAGCTGTGCTCTTAAATTGATTTTTTAAGTCCAGATGAAAGTATTGACCTTATTGTTATAGAATTGCCTCTGTGACCCGTGGCTTATTCTTTTGTGCAACTGAGAGCTGAGACATTTGAGCTTTATTGTGGAATTATTTGCACGTATTTTACGGCTTTGTCCTACTTTATGTTGACAAAACATGTCACATAAAAATAACTTCAAGTGCGTATAAAAGCAGTTACAGCTGAAGACAGCCATTACGAATAAAAAGGAGCAAGTAAATAAATTAGCCACTGACATCTTTTATCGGATGATGGATTTTTCTTTTGTTTCGCTTTGGTTAGATGTTTTTCTTCCGTCTTGTTGTAATTCTTGATTTTTCTAAAGGGGCAAAAAATAAAAAAATCTGAAATCAGACGAGCCGAGTTATATTTAGTACATATATTCAGACACTACCTCTGCTGACAAAACTCAACCAGATTATCCTCTTTTCCATAACCTCCAACATTTCATTTCCCACATATTCCTTCTTTTTCAATTGCTTTCATTATTGCATTCTTTGGCGCCGTGTTGCTGTTGATTAGTTGGGAGACTTGGATCTCAGGAGAAATACAGTTCGAGTTTTGCAGAGCGCAAGTCTGACTGGGGAAGCCTAACTTGATGGATAGATGTAAATACTGGGCAAACTTAGAAAAAAACGATAATAATCATGATGTTTATATCATGAAGGCCCAAAGACAGGTTCACTTTAGGGACTCTAAAGATGCAACAAGAGCTAAGAGAAGGTTTCAAATCAAAGCTTTTGTGTTAGTACTCCATATTGCTTTTCAAACGCATCCTTTTGTTTCACTTCACAATTTTGTGCTACTTTGTTTTTTGGTCAATTATATGAAATCCCAAAGCATACATCAACATTTGTGGTTTTCAAAAAAAGTTCAAAGCATTATATTTCCAAAAGAAATCTTTACTACTGAAGCTCTGTACCTCTGTCTGCAACAGCTTCTTTTTTTTTCTGACCTATAAATCCACGATTAAAAAAAACACATTTTTTCTTTCTTCCTTCCTCCGGAGATTGTTGATGTTGCTGTACGTGGTGGGAAACATTAACCGAGGCAATTAGCTGGAAAGGTCTCGTTATGAGATGCTTAAGAAGCGCAAAAGAATCGGTGCAAATAATGAGGGTATTGTTTCCAGTTGCTGCCTCCGGAGCGAACCCCTCCGCCCTCCGCCCTCCCTCCAGCTCACGGGGCCACGCCCGCACCGCTGGGTCTCTGCTCCGGGTTTGGGATCAACTGGACGCAGGGTCGTCATCGATCCGCCCGCGTGGACGTACACAAACACAGATCCGATCAATAACCCGCCTTTTACCCTCCGTTAACGAATGAGCTCATACTTCCTGCCGCGTGACATGATTATATTTAACCCCACGCCTCCTTCATGCGTCTGGAAACTTATTATGTTACAGATGAATTTTTTTGGGTTTTTTTTTTTCTGCAGTGACCAAAATTATATTTTAAACAGCTTTGGTCTCAGATTGATAAGAGGACATGCACACGTGGGAAATGGTTGAAAGCGAAATGAAATCGGTGCTTTTTATAGCCGGTGTGAGACAGCTTTCAGACCGAACTCAACGGAGAATAAAAAAAAAAAAACAAATAACAAAAAGAACTTCTCCGCCCCTCAAAGCTTCCTGCTAGTGATTTTCCTGGAGATATTCTCTTGAAATCCATTCGGTTAATGCTCTCTTTGGCTAACTTTTTGTTTTTTTCTTGTTGTGCATTTTAAACTTTGAATTGTAAGGAGTTGCCAGGTTGAGCTGGTGACTAAGCAATATGTCTGAGTGATTAAGAGAGTTCCTTGGCTGCAGGTCAAATCACAGTGAAAGTTTTCCCTCCGCTGGCTAACGTATTGTACTCCATGTGCTTCAAGCCCAAGCACTGGGAATTCCTTCAGTGGGTTTCTCTCAGCTGCTGCCATGACATAAAATATGTGTCCTTATGTATTGTAGCCTCCAGGCTGAATTAATGAATGTCATTGATTTGTTGCAGTTATACAACATTGTGTCCCGAGCTAAATGTCTTTCCAGCTTAATTAATGGAAACCATTGATCATACTATGATAGGCTTAATGGAGATTTTTTTGCGTTGCGTTGATGTTTCACCGCAGGCACATTTCTCTGCTAGTATCTTTAAGTTGCAAAAGATAACAAGGTTTATGAAATTGGTTTTTGAAGTCTTTATCGAGTCTTGAACATGGCGCCTACAAACGGTCTGGAAAAAATATGGGAGTGTGGAACCACTTGGCCTTTCAAAACACTACCGCTTGATTCTCATCTCCCTTCGCTGCTCCGTCTGGGATTTCTGCCATTGAAGACCATTTCTCCTGTAGAATTTCAAGCAACCCAATCGGTGAACAGAAGAAGTCGTGAACAATGATTTTTTTGTTTTTG